AAGGTAACAAAAACACAACAGTTCCTATATTCAGGTGATTATACACTAATGAAAATGCCAGTAGATCCTCCTAAATGTTTCACACTGGACCTTTTTATGAATAAATACATATAAATGATTGATTGAACCACATCTGATTGAATTCTCTCTAACCTGTGATCATCTGTTTGTCCTGACAGTCAAAGAGCAGGGAGCATCCGCCACCGTGGTCTATGTCCCATCTCATCTGTATCATATGGTGTTTGAACTTTTTAAGGTAGGTTTTGCCTTTTGAACTCTTAACTGGTTCCCATGTCGCAGTTTTCTATCTTCTCATCCCGCCTTCCTCTCATGTTAAACGTTTTGATCGTTGCAGAACGCCATGCGGGCCACCATGGAGTTATACGGCGATGCCATGGAGTATCCTTCCATCCATGCACAGGTGGCTCTGGGAACTGAAGATCTGACGGTCAAGGTAAAGCCGCTCTGCTCTGTGGTCTGTACGGTTCGTGGCAGTCAGGTGAGTTACTGCATGAGGAAGACTGTTCACAGCGTATATTCTTCTCCAGGTGAGTGACCGAGGAGGAGGCGTGCCGCTGCGCAAGATCGACCGCTTGTTCACCTACACGTACTCCACAGCTCCTCGACCCAGCATCGACGGGTCGCGTGCTGCTCCTCTGGTCAGTACTCCTGATGTGTGATCAATAGTGTCTGAATTAACGTGGTTATCGACTTATCCATTAACACTAGAACAGAAATAAATGTGTTACATTTGTGTGGAGTTATTAACATTAAAGTGAGACACTATAATTACATTATGTACATTTTATTATTTTATTGATTATTGTTTTGCACACATCCTCCTGATCCTGAAGTCAGTAACAGATCAGCTTCCTCTCATTATTGTAACTTTGATTTCAGCCATATCGTCCAGCCGTAGTGATTGGAGGATTTAAAGCAGACGTCACAGCTTTTTCCAGAGCTTTCAACCAGTCAGACGGTCTTCAGTTTGCTCAGTGACTGTTCTGAATTACTTTACGCTTCCTAAGTTCAAAACAAATAATTACAACACTTCCATAGTGCTTCCAGAGCTTTCAACTGTATCACATGGTCTTCTTATTGTAACACTGCTTTAAAGAGAGATCCTGGTGCCCCTTTAACATGTATACAGCATAAATAATCAGTTATGTGTTATTAACTTGCTCCAGTGCCTGTCTAACTGCTCTGTTGTTTTAGATTTTAGGGTTTTGTGTCGTGGTTATGTTAAAGGTGGAGAAATTAACTTGTTTTCCTTTTTCCAGGCCGGTTACGGGTACGGTCTGCCCATCTCTCGACTGTACGCCCGGTACTTCCAAGGGGACCTGAAGCTGTACTCCCTGGAGGGTTATGGAACTGACGCTGTGATCTACATCCGGGTAAGTTTTACATTAACAGTATGTGTGTGTGTGTGTCTCTCACACGCAAAGGGAGACTGTATTCGTGAGTTACATCCATGTTTTAACTTTACTCTCTCGACCCTCCGTCAGGCGCTCTCCACAGAGTCCATCGAGAGGCTCCCTGTGTACAACAAGTCGGTCTGGAAGCACTACAACACGATGCACGAGGCCGACGACTGGTGCGTCCCCAGCAAGGAGCCCAAGGACATGACGACATATCGCAGTTTCTAGTCCCAGTAGTGGCGTGTGCAAGAGACGACAGGTGTGTGTGTGTGTGCGTGTGTGTGTGTGTGTGTGCGCTATGTTGATAATTTCAGATTTATTTGCACAGAAAGTAACAACAGAGGTTTTAGTGCCATATAGAACAACGATTTATTCTGGAGAGCAGCAGCCAACAAAAATATTTTTTTCCCACTGGCACTTATTAATGGTAATGACTGGGATCAGCTGTCTAAAGAGACACAAAGCTCAACCACTACTGGAGTTTTGAGGCTGGTGCTATTATTGAATAGCACCAGCCTTTTTTCAACAACATCAGATAACAAACATTTTTCATTCAGGATCCATTAAATATGGTTGTTGAAGAATTGGGAAGATATCCGGAGCTGAAATATGTGTCAGTGCTCTCTGGTGGACAAACCAGGTAAAGGTGCCACTGTTTCTAAATTACCTCAAACATATTTTTTTGACATTTCTGTAGTGAACAGTTATTTATCAACAATATATAACAAATTATTTAATAATAAATAAATAACATTATGCATTGAGAGGAACAACACATGTAGGTCTCAGTATTTCTGCCTGAAACGTCCTGCGTGGTTCGATGCCAGCGGGGCTGAGGAAAAATGTTTTAGTAATTTGGGTGAACTCGTCCTTTAATGTATGAACCGTGTTTGTATCGACAAATTGTCTTCACAGTTTGTTCTGCTGGTTTTAAGGCTTTTTCCTGAATCACTTAGCTGCTTCTTTTTCTTTTTTTTGAAGTTAATCCGTGTGTAGTTTGTTCATCTCTTCTGCTTCATGTGAAGTTTAAAACTTTGTCAGGAGAACTTGTTACACAATTAGTTGCTGCCATTGACTAAATATAAATATATTTATATTATATATATATATTATATAAAATATATATATGCTGCTTGTTTTTATTTTAAACTTGTTGGAGAGTCTAAAATGTTTAAATTTAGGGCATTTCTTCTTCAGTTGGATCCAATCAACATGATCAAAAAAGTATTAATGGGTTTGCAATGGGTTATTTTTCCTCACAAGAGTCGTCACTTACAGCCAGTTATAGCATAAGTTAAATAAGCTATAATTAATATTTTCCATGTTGCACTAAAGCAGTTATGCTGTATGGATCATGTTCAGTAAAACAAAAATAAACAATTCAAACGCTCTTATGTGTCGACGATCTCTTCTTGTAAGTAAAAGGTGGAAACTGATCAGTTCTTTGTGTTACTGTACTTTCTGCCCCAGGTTTGGTTTAAAGATCAATACAGTTAAAAAGTGACGTGATGTTAAATCAATTTTATAGCGTTGATATAAAATCACTGTTACTGTGAGAATGTTACAGTTTGTATCCAGAGTTATGAGTCATTGGAGGAAATGTTTAAATCCATTATTACAACTGAAGGTCCATATCAAACAGTATTATGCAATCAAAACACCAAAACAAGCCACAGCCTCAAAGAAATTAACACACTGAATCAACATCCAACATGTCAACAATTTAATTTATTACAGGACTGCTGTGTAGGATTGTTATTCCTCTACTAATATATAAAAACCTGTCAGTTTACAGCCATCTGGTGCTCACTGTAAACTCAAATTAACCGAAGAAAAGAGGAAGCAAACATATCACATAAAGTCAAAATTAGTTTATTGATGTATGTACCAAGAAATGTTTCTCTGATTCAGAAGATGTGGAAACATGATTTTCTTGCAGTCCCAACATGTCGTATTGTATACAGAACATGGAGTCATGCTTGAAGAGAGAAAGAGAGGAAGCACTTCGGTTTCGGCTGCGAATAACTCATCGTTCAGCCTCACATTCATTCACGACAGCGCTGTGCTCCCGACTCACACAAGTCCTTGTCGTTGGCATGTCACCGCCTAACGGACCGGTGCGGTGTACATGTAGCAGACCTGCGTGCTGCGTGGTCGCGGTACCGCGTCCACACACAGCCAGAGTCCGGGGACAGCAGGAGCAGCATTCACCTCGTCCCTACTTGATTTGTTTGTTGCCTTTCATTCAGCAAAAAAAACAACAGCCTAGCTATTCTACTTAGTAGAAAAATGTCGATAATATAAAATGAACATTGGTATTTAAGTAAAAAAAAAAAAAAAGATATGCAGTTAAGAGGCACATGTATAAAACTTATTTATACATTTAAAACCTTGTCGCCCATTGAAGTTTAAAAGACAAATATAGTGCTTTTATCTGTACAATAACCGTTCCTGTAAAAGAGTTGTACATGGGAACAAGCAAGTTATACTAGCAGAAATATAAAATGCAGAAAAAGCTGTGTACATTTGACTTCCATAGGTAAATGTGTGCATGATCTGCTGAACAACTACATCTGCAAACAATTATAGCTTCGAGCTTTTTAGTGGTAAAAAAATGTTAAGATTCCTTTTTGGTCACATACCCAACTCTTTGTGACATTCCCCATCTTTCATTTAAAAATGGTTTGAGCTGAAAATGTGTTAAAAATATTAAAGAGAAACAGTGATGAGAAAAGAAACGGGATGCTACGGTATGAACATAAATCATAACTGGCACCTCAGTCGGCACAGGTCCTCTCCTGGCAGTCACGCCCTCTGCCTGTTGGCATTAACGCCATGTCACATGAACGTCATGGCACCAAAAGTGTATATATATATATATAAAAAAAGGGGGCAGCTCATGATCCTGCTACAGATGGACTTTATGAGTTGTGCAGAGCTGCTGCCTCAGCAGACAGAGTCAGCACTGACTGGGAGTCTCCCACTGCGTCGAACCTCCTTCTCCTTTTTCTCTCTCTGTTTCTCCAGCTTCTCCTGAGCCTTACGCATGTCCTTCAGCTTCTTCTTGATGGTTGAACGGTCGCTCTGACTCGACACGCCGAGTGCCTGAGGGGAGAAAGTGCACAGATTTAAGGCAGAATTATGCTACTCTACATCGTAAACATGTCAACAAATAAGGACCAAAGTAAAGCTGCAACTAATGAGTTTCATCATTAATTAATCCACAGTACAGCAAACTAATTTATTTTACTGTAACATTAGGCAAACTAAAGGGGGAAATATTTTCCAGGTGACAAATTGATTAATTAAAAACAAAGTTGCTGTGAAATACGACTTTATTTAAAATAAAAATGATTGGTGTGACGTTTTATAAACAAACCCTCAGGATTGATGTATAAGTGTGAGAAAGTTAATCCAGACGGAAACTTTTCTTCTGAAGAAAAATGAATGAAATCAGGTTGTAAACTATAATTTATCCTAATTAAAACTGTTATTTAAGATGATCCTATTCTACAATTGTATTACAATATACAGTCTTGTCATCATCCCAGTGTTATATTCCTGTCATAGCATTTTCTCTTATTTATGTCCTTAATATTCTTTTCCTCTAAAATGTTGCTAAACTTTTAATTTATATTTATCTCTAACTGCAACTTCTGGCCACAAGGTGGCAGTCAAAGGCTGACAAGACAATTTAATAGTGACTTATTTTACAATGACAGAGGCTTTGTCAGATAAAAATAACAACATCACTCTTAAACTATCATTCCATAATCACACAGGTGATTCAAAGTTAATTATTATCATCGAGTGCTGGTTTTGTTTACCTTCAACTTGTCACTGTCCAAATACAAGAGCTGCTGGCCGTCCACTCCCTTAGCTGTGAACTCAGGTGTGTATTGGTCCATATTCATGCCCATCAACCAGTGACAGACCTGTTGATTGGTCCACTCAGAAACAGGCCGGTTCTGCCACTGATACTCTTTTCCTGAAGCTACCGGTTCATCATCCAAAGTCTACAGAGGACACAGATAATGCAGACAGATATCAGAAAAACAATCGTTGTTTGAGCAAGAACATTACTATTTTATACTTTTAGTTAGTTCTGAATACTTCTGTGTAGGAATCTGAAAATCTGAGTGGTTTGTATCATAAATGTTTCTGTACTGTAAAGGAAAGAGATGACTCATGTCTGAAGCATGGCAAAAATAAATGATAAAGACCTACAGTATGTATACAACAAACAAAAACAACATGTACTGCAGCTTCTGTTGAACAAAGCTGAGCAGAGTACACATTTCTCAAGCTAAAACACACAAGCGTGCAGTAACAGCAGAATACCAACACATTCTCAGATGCAGATGTGTGTGTTCACACTGAGACACTTAAACTATAATATCAGAAAGACAAACAGACGCTGAACCACCACTGAGCAGGCAGCACAGCAGTCAACATTGTTCTGTGGTCTGCCAAAGCTTGTAAAGAACATGAAGCGCTGGTTGACGGTTCTAACAAAACACAAACTATTAACATCACAGCTGACTTAAGAAAAGCTAAGCTGCAAGACTTTAAACAGAAAACAAAACAGCTTTAACACACACACATGCAGGTCTCTTCTACCCCCTCTGCATTCACAATTTAATCTGGGCTATGAAAAGGGGAGAGGCTCAAAGAGCATGCTTGAGAATGTCCCCTTTCAGCCGCATCAAGGCGTCCCACTCGGCTTTTGTGGCAGCGCAACAAGGAGAGCACTCACCTCGCTGGAAGAGAAGATTACAGTGTGTGAGCGCCCAGACAGATTGGGTTCGGCAACTAACCCAGAGATGTGTGAACTGGGACTGGCGGGGCTAGAATCATCTATGACTGAAAAACTCTGGAACAAGTGGAAACAAGGAACGCATTTACTAGTCACACATCACCAAACAACAGTTCTGCACTAGGAGAAGCAGACAGACAACACTACAGGTGTGAGGGGTTAAGTGCAGTGCTGTTTCCAAGAGGATTGGGATTATTATCGTTGATTAAAACTGTGGCAGCAACCCCGGTCGTTGATTTGAGCCAATGAGTGACTGATCTTCAACATGTGAAAGGAAAAGGTGAGTAAAACTAAAATCAATCCACCACCAAAACTACACCGACAGCTTCTAAACCACAACAACTAACACTACTACCTCTAATGAAAGTAAACACACATTCAGGTATGGGGTAATGTGTTCAGTTCAGTCGAGTAGACGCTACAAAGATTAACTATTCGGTGCTCATGTAGTTTCAAAGTTAAACTGTGGCTTGTTTTTTTTCCAGGTTGGTTCAAATTTGAATAAAGGAAATGTTGTCCAGATCTGCAGGCTGTGGCACCAGCTGTGTGCAAGTCCATAAGCAGTTTAATGTCAATGTAGTAAGAGCATTAAGGTCTTACAACGAACAGTTAACTTTATACACACGTCTCTGATCAAACGTCCGATGAGCTGGTGCAACAAGCCCCTAGAAACTGCGGCCTTCATGTGCTTCCTCTAATACAAACCACAAGGCTCTCTGCATGAGGATACAGGGACATTAGATGACATTATTTTCACACTACCACATACCCACTACAAAAGAAGCAGTGAATCATTCATTCATTCACAGGATGTATTGAGGTGAGAAATTACAAATAATCGCAGGACTACGTGTGTTAGTAACGTTCTACTGTGTCGTCTAGAAACCAAAAAAGGTGAAACAAGAACGTGTATACTGTACCAAATCTAATGAGCGACTGAATAAAGAGGACCAGGAGAGATTTGTCTGTTTGAAGGAAACACGGTTCAGTGAGATAAATGTCCAGGCAGCACAGCGCTGACAAAAACTACCATAATGCACAGCGACAAAACCCAAACTGTTCTCTTAGTGATCATGCCATCGTGGTTCAGCTCGAGTCTTGAACTCATTAAACGGTATCGTGGGAACACAAGCCCCGCCGCAGCCTGTGTGACAGTTTGAAGGCGTTTCACTGGATGCGTTTGATGTGTCAATATTTGCAAACTCATTGAAAAGCCAACGAATCTTTCCCCTCGCTCTCTCTAATGGCTAACATATGGATCCGTTTATTGTAGCTTATTTGGAGAACTGATCAATGAAGGCGCGTGTCTAGAAACTGCCTCACATTATGTGTCTACTAGTTTTACTCTCTCAGCGAGGAGAGGAGTATATTATTATTACAGTCTCATCTGTGTAGCACTGTGCCTGATATCTTATTAATGCTGTGATACTAATACTCTCCATGTCCGGTATCTATTTCCTAATAGTCACAAACCTTATTCTTGCGATCCTGGCTTTGCTCACTGCTGGTCTCGGTTGCAGCGTACGGCAGACTGCTGCTGGAAGATGAGGGCTCTCTGTCTCTGTCCCTCTCTT